CCCCCCCTCCACCACCACCCCTATTCCCCACAAATTTTACGATGAGTCGGGGCGCATTTCAGCGGGTGCCGGCGAAAGAGGCCCCTAAAGGCGTAGCCGGCAGCGCCGCCGCCCCGTCCGCCGGGCAGTGACGAATCTGCTGCCTGCCGGGCCGGCGGCGAGTCATAGTGTGCGTGTTGGGTGAGTAAGGTTTTTACACATAATGGTGTTTATCCGTCTATTGGTGTGCAAATTTTAGACTTTTCCAAATAAACGTTCATCAGCTGCACACCATTTGTTCCCCACTAATAGCATAACCTTGTGTCTGTCTAAGTGTGCAAAATCCATACGGTTACTGAAATGTATAAAATTTGCACATCATGTAAGTGTGCAACGTACCGTTAGACACCAAAAATCGCAAAACCGGAAGCATTATCATGATCTGCACTCGGCGGTGTTCAAATATTCCACATTTGTGACTGAAGAGGCAGGGGTGGTTTTGGTCGCCCCCTCCCTTTCCTTCCCCGGTCAGCGCCAAACGAGACTCCTAAAGGGCCTAAAGTCGGTCCGGATTTCAACAATGAGGCAAACAAACTTGTTACCCTAGCGTCTATCGTGGTGTCAGTTGTGGCCAGCCACATATAATTGTAACTCCCTCAGAAAATTATTTTGAACCTATATTCTTTAGCACAATAAAATGCGACATAAAATGCTCATTTCAACAACCCTGTGGCTTGTGACGGCTTAGACGACTCTTCTCGCATGACCCTTGAATATGAATGAACCTACGGTCCATACGATTCTAATGAATGAAAAGACGACAGGGGGCAATCGTACCCCCGTCTCAATCCGCGGCTGCGACTACCCCCTTCCCCTTACATTTTCTTTGCGCGCATGGCGTCAGGTCGGGTCGGGATCTACATGAACAAGGTGACCCTCGTCACGAAATACCTCAGCCGTGCCCGCTGCTGTGCTACGCCACGTACCGACCGGCGGCGCGGCGAGGGTGAGGCGAGGCGAACCTTGGCAGCGCCCCTTCATCTCTGATTCCGCATCAACTCTCGCCGTCACAGATCAACGGTTGTGACGAACGTTAAAATCTCTGGCGCTGGCCGCGTCCACGCCCACCCCCTGGGCTTGGCCCTCCTGACGCATGCGCACCCCCGAGCGGGTTGCGCCGGCCGCCGCCAGGGCGCGCCACGGGCGGCGTGTTTGGCCCGCAGTACAGGTCGGCGCGCGCGCCGCCCGGCTCCCCAGCAGACCGCCCCGAGCGCCGCTCCGAGCCGGGTCCTTGCCGCGTTCCCCCGCGTCCGCGCTGCCGTACGTTGCCTCTGCCGTCGTGACCGATCTCGATTTGGTGTCCGCGATCGCCGGCCAGGATTGTGCGCTCCTTTGCACTTTCCAGGATAGTGTGCTTCCCGTGCCGTCCAGGATAGTGTGCTCCCTGCACTTTCCGGGATAGTGTGTCGCCCAGGATAGTGTGCTCCTTGCGCCGTCCAGGATAGTGTGCTCCCCGTGCCATTCGGGATAGTGTGC